TTCTGTTGTTTCAGTTGCTCACTCTGTGGTACTTTGTTATACAATCCTAGAAAATTAATACACTCATCTTCAAATCCTTCAGATGGCCCTACCTCCCATTAATATAAATGTGAGTCTCTTTCCTTGCTCTCCTGCTCTCCATGTAATGAAATACATACTACCCCACAGACGGAAGAAGTAGGCCTTCAAATCCTATACAATTTTAAGGCATTTTTTCCTTTAATATTGTAACCCAGCAGCCTTCTACAATAGGCAGAAAAATCATGAAGATAGTTTAACTGGAGAGATGACAAATAACTGCCATTTTAGTTTATAAGGAGAATTAAATTTTTGAGAACTAAACATCCTAATTGCTATCTTAAAATTTTTCATTAAAAAACAATCCCGGTTCATTGAGTTTACTTATAAACTTTGGCTGTAGTTTACACTTAGAACAAATGGTTTCAATTTCATTATACACTACCAAATCAACCAAGTCATTGTACATGTAAACTTAACCTTCATGTCTTGCAAATATGTGTGTGTGTGTGTGTGTGTATGTTTCCTGGTGCTTTCCTCTAATTTTTATTGTTTAAATTTTTTTCTTTATTGTTTCTCAGTAACTGAGTGTTCCTTAAACCAGACAGAGAAAAACAAAAGGAAAGACATTCTCAATCATGGGACTGAGGCTGTTAGATCCCAGAGATTGTTTTCCAAAGAGTAAATCAAAGTACTTTTCCACTTGAATCACAGTACTTTTCCAGGACTAGCTATAGGATTATCGTGGTACAAATTTATTTGCTGTGACAGAATAGAGAAAATTTAGGCTATTATTTTCCACAGACCCTAAACACTTTTGCAAGAATATCAAAACCCTAAGTTAACATTGTTTCCCTTAATATGACCCAGTGTTAACAATTAAACAGGGCCAAGCATTCTGTAAATATGTAAAACTCTACTAATTTACACTTGGCATCATCTATGAAAAATTTGGGTACCTACCACTCATTTGGAATTCAGGTGTGAATTATAAAGTGCTCAACAAATTTAAAATAACAGAAGGCAGGCCAGGTTCATATGCAGGCAGGAGTACTAAGGGTAAGGAGAAGTGCTAGTTGACATCCTAACATCAAATGAGGAAGCAGGAAACCCATAAAAACTGGTCACAAGCATATAAAACCCCAGCATTCATTTTTTATAGAAGCACTGAATGTTAAATGTGTCATAGGCCCCAAGATATTAATGTAATACAACCCAACAGAAGGAGACAGGGTCGCTGCAGTGCTCCCTGGAAAGGCAAAGGGATCAGGAGCCAGGCACTCGGAAGGCCCCTTGATTAGCCAGGCCACTTGGAAAAGTCATTTAATCTCTCAAAGCTGCTCTTTATCCACAAATAAAAATAATAATTCTGTCGTTGCCTACTCTAAGGGTCATGGTGGGGATCAAAAGTAAAAGAGCTGCTGCATAGAGTCACTGACTGGATTTCACACCTCGTTCCCTCCTCTCTCTTTTCTTGGCTTCCAGCACTCTACACACCATCCTGTTTCCCTCTAATGCATTGGCTATTCCTGCTCATACTGCTATGCAGGTTCCACTCTTTGATCTCTAAATTTTGGAGTACCCTAGACTTCAGTCCTTATCCTTTTTCTCTGGCCTATATAAGGTCTCTCCTTAGGTAATCTCAAGGCTCTAAGTATGATTCCTTTTGCTAATCATTCCCACATTTTTATCTCCGATTTTAACCTTCCTTCTGAATTTCAGACTTACATATCTAACTGTAAACTCGACATATTCACTTGATGCCTGATAGGCAACTCAAACTTTATATGGCCAAAATAGGCCTCTTGATTCTACACAATCCAACCCCTTATTTTCCTAGTCTTCTCTATTTTTGTCATTCATCCTCTCAATTGCTCAAGACAAAAAAAAAATCTAGGAGCTAGATTTCCTGGTCCCTCATCTCCCACATCCTATCCATCAGCAAGAACTGTCTCTGAAACAGATATCAAATCTGTCCATTTCTCTTCACCACTACTACCATAGCCCTTGTCCAAACCACTGTCTTTGCTCATCTGAATGTCCACAGACGACTCTCAACTGGTCCTCATTTTCCTATTAGCCTAGGCAAACTTTTTTTAAACATTTATTATAGCCTTTATACAAACTTAATTTAGTGACATTATATAAATAAATAACAAATGCATAAAATACAGTGTTTTTAATTTAAAAGTCACCAAACAATTACACATATATGTATATGTAAAAAAATTAAAAATCAATAAAGGCCTAGAATGATACACACAAAATCTATGATACATTTAACTTCTTCAAAAAAATTAAGACAAGGATGAAGGACAAAATGGACTTGACTTTAACACATAACATTCCCTTCTTTTAAAAAGCATAAGAACTTGGAGCAAACATGTCAGTATGTTAAATGTTGATTCTTGGTCAGATATTTTGATACTGTTCTCTGTAAATTTCTTCTGATTTTTTTCAAAATAAAAAAAGTAAACACAGAAAGGAGAAGATAGAAAACATAACAAGGACAAGGGTAAAAGGAGGATATAAAAAGTATAAAAGGATAATATCCCTGAGCTAAAAAAAATGCATTAAAACTTTAAATATAAAATGTTCTACACATGTACAGGTAGAGAAGTATTTCAACTTTTTGAAAAAGGAAAAAAAAGTCTTGCTCTGTTTCTAATTGAAATGTTTCTATGTGTCTCTGCACTGTATAAAATCTTGAAAATATAAATCAAATCATATAATCTATTTAGAGTCTTCCAGTGGCACAACACATTTAGAATCAAATTCAAATTCTTTACCATAGTATACAAAGTCCTACCAAATCTGAACTCTAACCATCTCTCCAACTTCCTCTGGCCCCACCACCATCATCTAGGGGCCAGCCATACCACCTGTCTGTCAATCACAAGTTCCTCCTCACATGAAGCCCTTTGCAGTGGCACCTCATCTGCCTGGATGGCACTTCTCCCAGAACTAAACTTGACTGGAACCTTCTTGTCATACGAGTCTTTTCAAATAAGACTGCCTCAAGGAGACTTCTCTTGACCAACTGATCTAAAGGAGCCCCGTAACACTCTTAATTATATCACCCCATTATAATTTTCTTCATAGCACTGACCACCATCTGATATTTTACTGATATTTTACTGTTTATTTATTGGTATTTATTCATGCATTTTCTTCATCCTCCATCCTTCTCCCAGAACATAAACTCTATGACTGCAGAGGCTATGTTATATCCCCAGGACTAAGAACTATGATGATCCTCTATAAAGAGTGTATTTGTCTCTAGTGCAGTATAACAAATTACCATAATCTTAGTGGCTCCAAACAGCAACCATTTATTAGTACTGGTCCTTTAGGTCAGAAGTCCATTCACAGCTTGGCTAGGGTCTATGATCTGATGAGGGCACTAAAGGCTGAAATCAAGGTGTTGACTAGGCTAAGTTCTTATCTGGAGGCTCTGGAGAAGAATCTGCTTCCAAGCTCATTCAGAGTATTAGCAAAATCCAGCTTCATGATACTATAAAATTGAGATCTCCATTTCCTTACTAACTATCAGCCAAGGGTTCCTAGAGGCCACCCACACTCCTTATCATCTGGGCCCCTCCATCTTCAGGCTGGCAATTGTGTGGCAAAGTCTTCTTATGCTTTCCAATCTGACTTTCTCTTCTATTAACAGCTGGAAAACTCTGTTTTCAAGGACTCATTTGACTCAATAGTGCCCACTTGGATAATTTCCCTATTTTAATGTCAACTGTGCCATATAAAAAAATCTAATCACAAGAGCAAAATCCACTGTATTAGTCAGGGTTCTCTAGAGGGATAGAACTAATAGGATAGATGTGTTAATTTTATTTTATTTTATTTTACTTTATTTTGAGATGGAGTCTCCCTTTTGTCCAGGCTGAGTGTAATGGTGTAATCTCGGCTCACTGCAACCTCCACCTCCTGGGTTCAAGCAATTCTCCTGCCTCAGCCTCCCAAGTAGCTGGGATTACAGGCATGTGCCAGCATACCCAACTAATTTTTGGATTTTTAGTAAAGACGGGGTTTCACCATGTTGACCAGGCTGGTCTCGAACTCCTGACCTCAAGTGATTCTCCTGCCTCGGTTTCCTAAAGTGCTGGGATTACAGGCGTGAGCCACCACACCTGATTGGATAGATGTATTTGAAAAGGCGAGTTTATTCAGGAGTATTAACTTACACAGTCACAAGGTCCCACAATAAACCGTCTTCAAGCTGAGGAGCAAAAAAGTCAGTCTGAGTCCCAAAGCTGAAGAACCTGGGAGTCCGATGTTCAAGGGCAGCAAACATCCAGCACAGGAGAAAGATGTAGGCTGGGAAGCTAAGCCAGTCTGATCTCTCATGTTCTTCTACTTGCTTTTATTCCGGTCATACTGGTAGCTGACTAGATGGTGCCCACACAGATTGAGGGTGGGTCTGCCTTTCCCAGTCCACTGATGCAAACGTTAATCTACTTGGGCAACACCCTCATGAACACACCCTGGATCAATACTTTGCATCCTTCAATCTAATCAAGTAGACACTCAGTATTATCTATTACAATCCACCATATTCATTGTCCTGGGGATTATGAAAAATATGTACAACAGTAAGCAGGAAATCTTAGGGCTTGTTTTAGAATGCCCTTTATCTATCTGCCTAAAAGAGAAGGTATTTTAGGCCGGGCGTGGTGGCTCACGCCTGTAATCCCAGCACTTTGGCAGGCCGAGGTGGGTGGATCACCTGAGGCCAGGAGTTCGTGATCAGCCTGGCCAACATGGTGAAACCCCGTCTCTACTAAAAACAAAATACAAAAATTAGCCGGGCGTGGTGGCACTCACCTGTAATCCCAGCTACTTGGGAGGCTGAGGCAGGAGAATCACTTGAACCCGGGAGGCGGAGGTTGTAATGAGCCGAGATCACGCCATTGCACTCCAGCCTGGGTGACAGAGAGACTGTCAAAAAAAAAAAAAAGAGGGTATTTTACAAACATTGGTGAAAGAAAAAAAGAATGAGTAATAAAAGTAGTTATCTAATATCACACATAATCTCACCAATATTGGCATTAAAGTAATTTAATTCATAAAGAAGTCCCTGCGACATCATGAAAAGCTTAAAGTGGGTATAATTTGCCATGGTTAAGAAGAAAGTTCACAGAAGCAAGAATAATTGGGGGCGAGGGGGTAGCTCAGAAATATAAACCCTAGTTAGCTGATTCAGGCAGTTTAAAATAACAACAACACAGACTAATTGGTAAGACTTGGTTTTCATTTGACTCAGCTACTTACGAGCTCTGATGTTGAGCAATTTATTTAATATATCTAGTTCAGGTTTCTTCCTTCTCAAATGGGCAACCACTCCACAGGTGGTTGTGTGATTTAAATTATTGGATGCATGTTCATTATCTAGAACATTATCCAGAGCATAGTAACTACTTGAAAATTGTCATCCATCACTCTGCAAAAATCAGTTATTTTGAATGCCAATTCAGATTTGCTTCACCCAGGCAGTCTTTCAGTGGATTTTTGCAGGGTAAGAGTGAAGAGGGTTGGTGGTATGTTCTAATGTTAGAAAATTAGTCAGAAATACATATTTCTGAATTGAAACTTATTAAATTAAACAATTATTGGTGTATTGCTTAAGAGCTATATTTCTTTTATTCTAAAAGAAAATAACCTTATTGGGTTTCACAGAAAATGCATATATTCTTAGAATTTGAACTGCCTGCTTTACTGACCATGAATATCGTGGATTCTGCTCTTGTGATTAGATTTTTTTATATGGTACAGTTGACCTTAAAATACGGAAGTTATCCAAGTGGGTCCTGTTGAGTCACATGAGTCCTCTGAAAATAGAGTTTTCCAGTTGGTAATAGAAGAGGAATATATATTTCTGATTAATTTTCCAACATTAGAACATACCACCAACCCTCTTCACTCTTACCCCACAAAAATCCACTGAAAGACCTTGCCTTGATGAAGCAAATCTGGGAATTGTCATTTGAAATAGCTGATATGTGTATATATATAAAATAATTATATATTTATAACATATATAATATCTATAATTACATATTATATTATAATATATTATATATTACCTATTGTATCTATAATTATATATTACATATTATATATAATTATAGATATTAATTATATATGTTATAAATATGTAATTATAGATATTAATTATATAATATATAATTTCATATATATATAATCAATGTTCTTCTTGCAAATTACCTGAACAACTTTCTGAACCTCAATTTCTATGAAGTTGTCATACTGAAGACTAACAAATTCAGTGCAGTCAGCTTTCCTTTCACTGATGCAAAGAAATTCTTATTTATTTAGCTAAGTATCATGCAAAGAAATTGAATAAAGTTTAATGAACATATTTTATTAAAAATACCTATCTTTAAATACTGCAATCTCAGCACAGCAAAGAGCTCCTAACAGAAGAGGCAACAGTGCAGTGGCAATAAATCCCAGCTCTGCCACTTAATAGCTCTTTGGCACTGGACAAGTTAACATAATCTCTCTGTGCTTCATTGTTCTTATCTGCAGAATGGAAACAGTAGTTAATCATAGGGCTGATGTAAACACCAAATAATTCAGTATAAGTAAAATATTTAGAACAATGTCTGGCATAGAGTAAATGCCATAAAGATTTATTGACTAAAATTAGGACTTTAAGGAACAAATAGGACCTGGCTGAGGGAACAAGATACCTACATCTCATGCTCATTCAGTGAATACTCCTAATTCGTAGATGGTACTATTTAAGTTGCTGTTTTTCTCCAACACCACCACCCCATCTTTTTTTTTCTGATGGGCTGCTGTATCAATTCAGATTTTCTGAGAGGTAGGCACCAAAAAGGGATTAGATGAGCAAGAGATTTGATGGGGAAAACACATATGAAAGATAAAGATAAAGGGAGCAGGAGTGGTAAGGAAGAGCTTTCAGATCATAACACAGATTGGATAGTTATGCAAGGAGAGAAAGAAAGAAGGACTGGCCAGGAAAAGCTCAGACTATAGTGAGGTTCTAAGAAAATCTCAGCCAAACCAATAAGGAGTCAACAAGCAAACACAACATTGCCTGTTAGTGGAATCCCACATTGGGTAGAGAAGGGACCCAGTCCCCCCATCATATCCAGATGTTGGCTAGAAGAGTCCAGATGAAGCACAGCATTGGCAGTTTTGAATGTGAAAGTCCAACAGCTGCCATCAGCTGTGCTTCCCACAAAAGGTCCTCTTAAAAGTGGATCTGAGTGGCACACTTCTATGGTTGCCAGAGCCCCTGTGGTTGCATTTATGCAGGTGAAACGCACACATAACATGATGTCCACTGACCTTTTTTATTAGGTCATGATTTATAGACCATTGCTGGCAGGTGGACACCTGGCAGGTATCACTGAACACTCTAATATTTTGGGGGGACCAGCCAGGAGGAAGCAACTGAGGCTACTGATGGTTCTCTGATGGGATCTATCTATGGGGAAGATTGATGCATTGCTGGTTAAATGTATCTGTGGACTGATGAATTGATCCTTTCCTAAGTTTGACATTTGCTGATCATGGAGTCCAGTACTGAGCAGCCTTCTTTTACATGAAGGCCAATACAGGAATAATATGTATGGATACATATTATATGTACACATAGGAGTGTATGTGTGTGTGTATTACTTAGAGGCTATATTTCTTTCATTCAAAAAGAAAATAGACTTATTGGGTTTCACAGAAAAAATATATATCCTTGGAACTTAAATTGCCTGCTTTATTGAATAGAAGAATGCCATTAAGAAAGTTGGCACTGCTTTTTAGCCACCAAAATGATTATATCCAGAATTATTTGAAAAACATCAAGAATAAGGCAACTTTCTAAGTTTCTCATCTTGAAATTAGATCACAGACCACACTTCCAAGTTCAACAGCCCCAGCTGGCTCTCTGGCTTGTGTGTTGACCACGTCTCCATAGTATACCAGGTGCTAGGAGAGGACCAGGGGCACAGAACAAAAAGACTAAGTGCCACGGCTTCGGAGGACACTGCCTAGTACACTAAGCTAACAAGGACAAAAGTGCTCTAGAGGTATGTGAAGACATCATGCAAATTCAGAGGAGTGACCCTCAACTCAACACTATGGGAAGAATAATGAATAGCTGGGAACTCCAGGTAGCAAGATGTGCCTTAATGGTGCTGCTGCACACACCTGACATCCAGCTTTTTCCTCATCCTATACCACATCTTTGCTTCTAGTTTAACCTTGACTCTCCAAGTGCAGATGAGCTTAGTGTGACCCTTGCCACCCCAGTCATTTATTTATTCACCAATTTCTTAATCAAGGATATATTGAATACAAAGTGCATTAGACTACAGTTTGTACTGATCCAAGGTCCCGTACATAATATATATCTATATTGTTACATTAATTTGCAGTATTAATCAACTCAAATCACTTGGGAATAAATAAAATCCCAGCAGCTATAAATTAGCCAGTTTCTCATCTATATTTTGCAGAGATGGCATGAAAGGTTGAAGGATTGTATTAGTTCATTTTCACACTGCTGATAAATACATACCCAAGACTGGGCAATTTACAGAAGAAAGCAGTTTATTGGACTCACAGTTCCATGTGGTTTGGGAGGCCTCACAATCATGGCAGAAGTTGAGGAGGACCAAGTCACATCTTACACGGATGGCGGCAAGCAAAGAGGGAGCTTGTGCAGGGAGACTCCTGTTTTTAAAACCATCAGATCTCATGAGATCCATTCACTGTAACAAGAACAGCATGGGAAAGATCCGGCCCAGTGATTCAACTATCTCCCACTGGGTCCCTCCCACAACATGTGGGAATTATGGAAGCTACTAGATGAGATTTGGGTGGGGATACAGAGCCAAACCATATCAACGATTATGAGATTTGCTGCCAGAATATCAGCACTTACCATGTGTGACCGGAACAACTTTCTGAAACTCATTTTCCTTCCCATAATCTGGAAAATGGAGATTACAATATTTATCTTGCAAAGTATGCATTAAATTTCATATGAAAAGAGCAAAGTACAGTGATTGGAATAACATAAAATGAAAGGTAGAAAATAAACTAAGATGTGTAAAAAGGAAATTTAGATTTTTGAAAATAATTTAGAAGTGGGACAAATGCTCCTAAACAAGAAAAAAATCAGGAATCCTAAAGAAAAAGCATAATAGATTTGAATATATAAAATAATTAACCTCTATATGATAAAATATAGCATAAACAAATGCAACTGAGCATGTAATAGGCCAGGAAAATACAGTTGCAATGAATATAATGAAGATTAATAGCCATTTTTTAAAGTTTCTGCAAATTAATAAGAAAAATACAACCCCAGAGAAAAATGACCAAATATTATATATCAGCAATTCACAGAAGAATTATAGCCAATAAAGACCTGAAAACATTCTCAGCTTAGCTGCTGCTTAAGTAACACAAATTAAAACAAGTAAGTGATTCCATTGTTTTTACCCACCATATGAACACAACAATGTAAATATTCATAACATGCCTTATAGGTAAATATATGGGCAAATGGATACTTTCATATACTGCTTAAGAGAACATTGAGTCAAGGTGCCTGCTGGTGTAGTAAGCTTCACTATTATGATGCTTGGTTACAAAAAATGGGGGAAAGATAATTTGAATCAATTTAAGTTAAAAATAAGAACATTATTACTGTTTACTACTCTCACCATAAAGAGATTGAGATATTTCCTCAATCTTAACATTGCTCATGTAGTTTGACTGCAGGAGCACTGAGAACCAGGCACTCAAATTGCATTTAGACTTATCTTGGGGGATCTTCTCTGGGTATGGGCTTCATCCTTTTCTCTCTCAGTGCCAAGTAACTTTGTCCCTTTGGTGAAAAACAGCAACCAACAAATTTTGAGTTTTAAGTCCTTAATAGCTTCAACCATCAGAAAATTATTGATTCAAGTCACAAGTTTCCCATGCCCAAAAATTCCAAGAAAGTCAGTCTCTGGCCCTGACTAGATCCAATGAACATTCCTGGACCAATAATTGATAACTTCAGAGATGAGGTTCTATGACTAGCCCAGGTTGAGTCTGGAGCCACTCCTGACCCAATCCATTGCACCAGAAGATGAATTCACATTAACTTGGCTGCTCTCAACAGAAGGATGAGGGAAGTCATAATTCCCAGAGGAAGGGACTGTTATTCCCAGAAGAAAAACATGCTAGCCAGATGCAAAAGAGCTTAAAATATACAGGCACTCAGTGTCCTTTTTAATAAATTAGACAATTAAAAGATAAATTGGTATAATCAATTAATTAGAAGAGGAATTTAGCAATATCTTTGAAGACTTTATATAATCTTATGTCCACTAATTCCACTTTTGGTCATGTATCATAAAATGAACATATATACACAAAAAGTATTAATTTATTAACTTGTTCATCAAATATTTAGTGCATGGTGTGTGCTTACTATTCTAAGAGCTGGAATAATAGTAATAAAAAAGATAAAACTTTTCTATATTTACATTTGAGTGGAGAACAGAAATTATAAATAAGTGATCGGCACATAACAAATGTTTGTTATTAAGCATTCTGTCCAATTTCAATGTCTAGATGTCATAAACTTACAATATAAATATATCTTTTGTTTATGATGAGGAGTTTTCAATATTTCAAATCTTCATCTATGATATCATATACACCAGCAATTGCAAATGGTGTCATGTCTAATTTTTACAGAATTGTACACTTTACAAAAAGTTTTCACATCTACTATCTCATTTCTCTAATTCATCAACACTCCAAATTAGATAAAGGCAGTATTTTTATTACTTTATCATTGAATCCCCTCTCCAGAGCCAAGCAAAATGCAAGGTAAGCACCAAATAAGAATTTGTTAAGGTATCAAAATTAAGAGGCATGGCTAAAACACAGAGGTGCTTAGGTAACATAGCAAGTTATATCTTTGCAGCTGCCATTCCTTCTAGGTTTAAGGACCTTGAAATTTGGCTTTTAAAAGAAATAATTAAGTATTTTGTTCATGGTCTATTCACAAAACAAGAATTGCTCTTGTAAAACTTGGAATAGCAACTGGAATTCAACGTATGGAGCATAGAAAGAAGTTTTGGTAACACTCAGATTTGAGCCTCAGGAGAAATCTAAGACTCATGTTTTAATTTTAAACACATATGTGTGACCTGGACAAGTTACTCTGCCTCTACAAAATGAGCTGATTGATTCAATTGAATAATTTCTTCTGGCTACAAAATGTGATGATATGTCTTCTTTTTCAACCATACCTGTTCCATAACTGGGGATGGACCTCAATGGTTGTGCTTTAGTTGACTCTGAAGACAAGGAAATGCATTGTAAAACAATGTCATTCCAGGCATCCATGTGAGCAAATGAGTGTTTTAGGCTCCAAAAATGAGGTTGCAAACCTAATTATGAAAAAGAATAAGCATTAGTTCTGTTACTTAGTTAAATGAGTCAACAGAAGAGAGTTTAAGCCTATTCTCTTTCTTGGTGAAGTGTCATCAAATGCCATGACTTTGCAGATACCTACCTAGGTAAATGCACTGAATGGAAACTACTGAATAAGAAAGTCTGTTCTTAGGCAATCACTTTGGCTGAAAATGTAATGACAGAAGTAGTCCTTAGACAGGGTATAACATGATTAGTTATATCCTTCTCGATTACAAAGAATAACAAGCACACATAGTCCCTCACCTAATTTTCGTGGCAGCTTCCTGTGGTGGGATATAAATGGGTTTTGGAATACCATGAACTCAGGTTGAAAATTCTAGCCTTTGCCCTGAATGACATTGGCTAAGCTATTAAACTCCCTTAAACTCAAATTTCTAATCTACAAAATTAGGATAATAATATTTACATTATGAAATTTAAGTCACAAATGTATTTAAGCACCTGGTTGAGTCCTGTGACACCAAATAGATCATGAATAAACATTGACATATCACAGTTTGTTTAACCATTCATCTATTAAAAGACATCTGGATTGCTTCCAGTTCTGCCTATTATAAATAAAACTTCTTTGAATATTTATGTACAAGTTCTATAAAAATAAGTTTTCATTTCCCTGAATAAATCCCTCAAAGTGGAATTGCTGAATGATATGATAGCTGCATATTTAGTTTATAAAGAAATTGCCAACCTGTTTCAAGAGTGACTGTGCCCCTTTACATACCACCAGCAACACAAATGAGATCCACTCTCTTCACATTCTTAACAGTATTTGGTATTGTCATAATTTTTATTTGTGCCATTCTGATAGGTATGTAGTGATAACTCATCATGGCTTTAATTTTTTTGCCATTTGCTAATTAGGCTGTTTGTTTTGAGAGTTCTTTATGTATTTTATATGCTACCCCTTTGTCAGGGAAGTGGTTTCCAAATATTGTGTCTCCAGCTTCTATCTCGTCTGTTCATTCCCTTAGCAGTGTTATTCTGAAGGCAAAAGTTTTTAATTTCAGTGAAGTCCAATTTATTCATTTTCATCTTTTATGAATCTTACTAATAATGTTATATTTAAGAACCCTTCATGCAAGACTAGGTCACAGAGCTTCTCTCCTATGTTCTCTTCTAAAAGATTAACAGTTCTATGTTTTATGTTTAAATACATAATGCATTTTACATCTTTGTATAACATGTGAAGTTTAGGTTTATGTTCATTTTTATTGCCTATAAATTACAATTACTCTAGCACCATTTGTTGAAAAAGTTATAATTCCTCCTATGAATTGCTTTTCCATCTTTGTCAAAAATTGCCAAGACCATACACTGGGGAAAGGACAATCTCTTCAATAAATGGTGCTAGGGAAATTGGATATCCATATGCAGAAGAATGAAACTAGACCCCCACTTTGAACTAAATGTAAGACCCAATATAATAAAACTATTAAGTAGAACAGAGAAATGCTTCAGAAAATTGGTTTGAGAAAATATTTTATGAATAAAACCTGAAAAGCACAGGCAACAAAAACAAAAATAGACAGATGGGATGAAATCAAACTAAAAACCTTCTGCCCAGCAAAGGAAATAATGAGCTGAGTGAAAAGACAAGCTACAGTCTAATGAGAGAAAATATTTGCACACTATTTATCCTACAAGGGATTAATATTCAGAATATACAAGGAACTCAAACATCTCAACTACAAAAAAAAATTTAATTAAAAATTTAAAAATAATAAAAATCAGTTGGGCATATTTATGTAGTCCCTTTGTATTCATTCTCTTTATGTCCTTTTCATCTATATGTCTATCCTTCCGCCAATAACATGCGGTCTTGGTTACTATAGCTACATAAGTCTTGAACTTGGGCAGAGTGACTCCTCACACTACATTCTTTTTCACAATTGTTTTAGCTATTCTAGTTCCCTTGCCTTTCCATACTACTGTTAGAATAATCTCGTCTACATGTACAAAAAATATAGCTGGAATTTTGATGAGAATCTTATTAAATCTGTTTATCAGTCTGGGGAGAATTGACATTTTTATTATGTTGAGTCTTCCAATCCATAAACATAGTACACCTCTTCATTTATTTAGAAATTCTTTGATTTCTTCCATCAGTAGTTTGTAATTTTCAGCTTGTAATTCCTGTACATATTTTTTATATTTACACCTCAGTATTTAATTTTTGGAGCAATTGTAAATGGTATCATACTTTTAATTTTGATGTCCATGTTTTCACTGCTAGCATATAGAAATGCAATTAGTTTTTGCATGTTTATCTGGTATCCGGTGATCT